TGTTTAATTTTCAGAATTAAGGAATCCGAAGATGGTGAAAATGAAGAGGAAATTAATATACAAAATATGGTCATTAAAACTCCTATTTGAAAATTAAAAAATCTATTTTTGAAAATACAATATAGTGAGCTATTAAATAATTAATTAGATTGTTGCTACGTTTCTTTAAATGTAAAGAAATTGGCAACAACTTTAGATACGAAGACGAGATAGAATTATTTGAAATAGAGAAAAGAATTCAAACCATCCCAGTAAAAAATTGTATGCTTTATGAAGTTGAGTAAAAAGTCTATTCAAAGAGTTAGGATAAGAAGTTGCTAACAAGGAACACTAGGTAGATGTCTCCTTCCGATTTCGTTCATCTTGATATATGTTGTAGTACTCGAAAAACTAATTAATACGTATATTTTCTTATCGGCAATTGTGAACATTTTAGGCGTGAAAACCACCACTAAAGTTTTTACGGAAATATAGAAATTTCACAATAAAAAGAAAAATTAAATAAAAAATTTTTTGTTTTGATCAATAATAATTTAGCACGAAAAATGGAATTAACCGGATAACTGGTACTGTATCATATATGTACAAAAAAAACATGACAATTCTGGTACTGCATCATATAATTATGTACATATTTGAATAACTCTTGAAAATTTCAACTGATTTGAACAAAAATTGATATATAACCGTTTTTCGACATGCTCTACCCGAATAAGGCGTTATTTTTGTGAAATTTTGAATCTTAACCTCAATATTACAACAACAAAGCCACAAAAAAATTTATTACCTCCCTCGTTAGCTAGTGAAAGATTCACGACCCAAGAGTGTACCGGCAAGGAGGTTACGGAAGAATTTTACTGTTACGTACGTTGTCCTAAGCAGTTATTTTTAAATCAAAGTTATAAGGGTTCAGAAGGTAAGACAGAAATTAACTTCAATTTAATTTATATATTTTAATACATTAATTGCGTTAATTTATGTACATAAATTTAGAATCTAAATTTTATGTTTAATGATTAATTTTGTGATTGTTTTTCTTTTAAATTTTCCATTTTGTAATATGTATATTTTAAAAATAATTAAAGTGAGAGAGCAAAAATAATCCCGTTTTTATTTTGCTTCACTGTGCGTCTTCTGTCGATTGGACCTTGCGGCAATATTTCCAATAAAATATTAACGAATGTAGCGATGTGTAGCATTGAAAATGTTACAGACGCAACGAGAAATATTGCGACAATTTTCAAAATCTAAACTTAAAAAAAAACAATGTAAGAAAAGAATGTGCAACCATTGTGGCAGAGTTTCGAATATAACAAATTTTGAACTGATGTTATTTTTGCGAATTCAAAAAATAAATATTGTTATTAAAAGAAAAATTAAATTGTTTTATAGAAAATTTTCACAAATAATAATAATTAATAAGAATGAAAGGAAAAAGAAAGAATTAAATTAAATATCTCACGCTGTGGGAACAGCATGTGATGGGCAGCTACGGTTACACACACACATATGGACTTCCGTGCCTATGAGTACTCGTACAACCATGGGTTCTTCGCGCTACGGGCATACATATAAGCGCTTGTACGTAACAGTGCTACACCAACACATCGCATTCCTTTACTCTCTACCTTGGTTTTTTTCATTGAGATCCTCATTTCTTTCCTCTGAAACTACAGGCCTATGGACTACAGCATTTTAAAGCAAAAGCACGTGAGTTTGAAATTTCGACTCACTGTTGTATATACAATGCACTATTCTCAAAGTGTTTGTTATGAAATGATATGACTCAAATCCCAATAAATTTAAACATTTTGTTGTAACTTGCAGTTAGCAATAAAATGACGGAAGGATGTAAGTTACAGGGATATTTAAATAAATATACATGTTTCCGTTCTCACGAAGACCAGCGTGAGATTCAAACACGTCAACAAAAATGTAATGTCCAATGGGCCTCGTGCATTTTCCCTACTTCTATTCTTTATTACTCCCTAAATTCTAAATTATCCCACCTAGACCCCGAGGTAAGGACTAGAGGCATGTCGCAAAATTTCAATTAACGCAGTACAACTTTCCTCGCTCATTAATAAACACTTCTCCTGGCTCTGGCCTGGCAGAAGAGTTCCTTGAGCCTGGAAACGCGGCGACTAAGCGCGTCCGCGAGTCGGAACCCGTGTTAGATCTTCATACAAAGTTATAAGTAAACAAGGGCGGACGAAAATAAAATTAAATTCTTCAGTTGGCAAAGTCCAGTGGAAGCCAACTTGAGTAAGCATTCTAATTAATTATATGATTAATTGATTGGAATTCTTGTTATTCAACTGGCCAGTCAGTACCCGAGGTACCTGCGCCATCACAACTCGGTGGACCTACAAGCGCGACAGCGCTGCCAACCTCTTGTTTTGCCCGTTGAACGGAGTTGTAAAACCCGTGTGTGGACGACGTTCAGCGGTAGTTTTAAACATCGTAGCGTAAGTAAAAATAATGTATCGTTCATATTCTTAATTTCATTTTGTACTTCATTTAAATTTTATTTCAATAAACAATACTTGTAACAGAAAACTGAGCTTGGAAAAGGAATCAGAGGCACAAAAAACCTTCTAGAACCAGTTTTTATGTAATTTTGTTGATAATTGGCTTCTACCAGAATTGTCACGAAAACTGGAAAATGATCCACTAACCGGTTAAAAAGTAGCATTTTCACTACCAACCCCCAAAAATTAACTGTTTTTAGGGGTATTTACCCCAATTCACCCTACGAACAGAATATGAAGAGTATGGCGATGATTTCTCAGGACCCAAACATTCTTAATTTGCTTATCAAAATGAAGTTTAAATCGTATTTTAACGGAAAAATACTTTTTAGGGGTAATTACCTAGGTAAAATAAAATTCTAGTCTTGAAAATATTTTCAAAATGAAAAGAAAGTATCCCTCTTATTATATAGATGATTTTTGCAGAAGAAATACATTTTTTTCAGATAAAGTCTTTTATTTGAAATAATATAATTTAAGGAGTTGTTTACCCCTATCTACCCCCTGGACAAATTTTTTTACATTTGTTAATATTTTACAACTCTTACATCTAATTATTAAATATTAATTATTAAACATCCTTAAGGGGTGAAAAATAAAAGTTGAGGATGAAATTTTCATTTTTTCAACAAACTTGAAAGAAAATCAAAACTGGTTCTAGAATGTTTTTTGTCCTTCTAATTCCATTCCTAAGATCAGTTTTCATTTTGCAACATCCTAAAGGGGTGATAAAAACACAAAAAAATTGAATTGAATTGCATTTTTTTTATATTGTGAAATTTCTATATTTCCATAAAAACTTTACGGGTGGTTTTAACCCCTTAAATGTTCACCATTGCCGATAAAAAAATATACGTATTAATTAGTTTTTCGAGTACTACAACTGCTGTTAAATAGCAGAGGGGAAGCTAATAGGAAGCATGTTATGGTCGATTTTTATCTTTTTAAACGCTTCCATTGTCTTTTTTTCATTGGAGTAATTTGAGATTTTTTTTTCCTTGCGCTTATTGGTCAAAAGTTTGCTATTTCGAATGACGTACTTTTTTTTAACTAATAAAAATGCTTTCGCTCAATTTACCCAGCCCGAAGGCTTTCCGGACGCTCTAAAGAAACTTTGGATTTTCGAAATGCCTGAAAAAATTTCTTTGGCGAAAAAATACGTAATTGTCTTTTTCTGCTTGTGAAAAATTAATAAAACATTATAGAAAATGCAACTGCACGGAAAGAAAGTTTGTAACAATATTTGATATTATGGTGTTACTTTTTAGTATATTGGGTTACAATTGCAGAACGTTTTGGCATGATACCGATTTTCGATACTATTTTTAAGAATGATTGAGATTAAAATAAGAATATTTAATATAGTTGGAAAAAAATTTTGATATAATATTTACAAAATCTGAAATCTTTTTATTGAAACACAAAAATGTCAAATTTTAATAAGCTCTTTATTAATTTTTCTAACCAAATATTTCAAACTTAGTAATTAGAATTGTATAAAATGATATAATTATTTCACATTTTGATATTTTTGATATGAAAATTGAAAGAGAAATATCAAAGTTAACGAGATTCGACGAAATTTGCCGAAGTTGAACGTTCGGAATTGACCGATACTCACCGAGTAGTAACGAAGACTGACGAAGCTCTTTAGACTTGGATTAACGTTTCGCGAGTTCGAACGTACTGGCCGGCGTGGATTTAATACACTTGTGAAGTGAGGTTATGTAGTGAGAAAAAACGTTGCAGGCTGATTTTATGGATATAAATATTCAATTTGTAACTACTACCTAAATATAAATATACTTTGTGTGCAATTACAACATAAGAAGTATTATATTGTATAAGCAGAAAAAGAAACAAGATTTTTACCGTATAAGGGAAACTATTCAAAATCTGGATTACTGTACAAAAACCCGAATACACGCGCCCGAATCCAGGTGCCCGAAGGGTATTACGCCCGAAAAAAATATATGTAAATTTATATGTAATTAAAAACATTTATTGCACACATTTGCCGGTATATAATTGAATATTGTTAGCTAAATTTTCCAAGTATTTCATCACTTCATCTTTCTCTTTGAAATGCTCATACGATTCAGCTATTGTTGTGTATCGACGTTGCATCGCGATCCATTTTCTTCGTGAAGCTGCTTTTACGGATCGTCCAAGGCCAAGCTCGACAAGAAAAGTTTCTGTTTCCCTTTGCTCCTTTTGAATTTGAATCAGAAATGAATACAAATCTGGATGATTCTTATTGACAAGTAGTTTAAACCTGTTGTGCCACCCTTCACTCACATTATTAGTTCGATGAAGACCCTGCAGTGTGGCCTCATATTGATTCCACAGTTCGATTGGGTATCGCGGAGGGATAGCACGGCGTCGACCACGTCCTGCTCGACCTCGAACATAAGTATTGTCAAAGTAGTCCATAATATTCAATAAGTCATCGCGAGCATCATCCATCAAGCTACCGAAGGCATCAGTAACATCAGCTACAGGAACAAAACAAAGGCTCACAAGCATATGAGTTTGCTTACGCAAGGTATTGTCGACGGGATCATTATAGGCAACTTGAAGGCCTTCTGCTTGGATTTTTCTATATATAGACTGTTTGAGATGAAAATAGCAACAATTTATTTGAGTGTTAGGATATTCCGAGTGACATGCATTTATAATGGCTAATTCGTAATCAGAAACAATCCTCTGAGGTCTACAGTGATGTATTCCGTACGCCACAGCAGCAGAAGTAACTGATTTGAAAACAGCTTGGTACTGATGGGTTTCTTTGGATGATAGGAGGGCATACACCAAAGGAGAAGCTATGACGGTCGGTTGATGGTGAAACCTTGAAAGTGACATCTACGTACCAAGTGTCACTGTCGACTAATCGCTCCAAGTTATTTCGTGTGGCGAAAACCAATACGCGTCCCTCACCAAAAGTGTCATCCCCTCGAGAGTCATAGCAGAGAAAGCGTTCGTTGGACAATGTTTTTTGAAAACGGTCAGGCAGTTCCTCGACGTCGTCTAAACTCTTCGGGTTAGGTGGTAGGTGCCGTCTCCTTTCCCTCCTTACACTCTTTTTTAGGCTCTCACGCTCAGGGAGTTTTGCCAAAACTTCAGGACGCAAGTCACCGAGATGTTCGCGTAAAATCTATTTTATAAAATATGCAATTTTTTCTAATTTCTAATTTGTTATAAAAAATTGAGACAAAGAATCTTGTATTAAATGTAATATTGTTTTTTTATTATATTGTCGTAGCGGTCTGTGCATAATACGCTGAGCATAGTGAAGCGAATATTCGTGTCGGTAAACGACCGAATTAATTGATTTTGTTCTTAAACTTGACGACTTCACCGTTCCTGTTTGTGATCAACGCAACGAGTACTCGAGAGCGAGAAATATACCTGTGATAAGAAAGCTATAATCTAATTAACGTGGTGGCCTGCAAAGCGGTCCATTGAATTACGATCCTCTTAAGAGTAGCTGTGTAAACGCCAGTATTTGCGATCACATTGTTATATTGAACGGTGAGTTCTTACATTGTAAAAAACGGAAATAATACCGAATTTTTTATTATTCGCAAGATTTGATATTGATATTATAATTGCGGTGTTTGACCACACCTTTTATGTTAGTAGCAGTAATTTGACAAAGACTTTTCTTTTTATTCAGAACGACCTGTATGTGTATATATTTAAATCAACGTATCTGATCAGATATTAATTATAATAATTAAATTGTATAGTCCGAATCAAGTTTTGAAAGTATATTGTAAGTATGGATGGAGATTTTTAAATTTTAAATATAATAAATATTATTCGGCACAAATTTTAATTATACTTTTTTTTCTTTTTAATAACATAAAGATTTGTTACAATATATTGTGAAATATAATTATTGAGAAGTAGATATGATAGAAAATTTTTAACATTATAATATTGTTTTTAGTATCCCTCAAGCGACTTTTACTGCTCTATCGAAACTGATACCAAAAATTTTCCCGAGTGAATCTGCGGTCACCTATTACAGCCCTTATAAAAATGAAAATGGCGTTGTGGTTCAAACTTCAGGCACGCTATGGTCGCATTATAATTATGTTATTGAGATTCTAAGAAAGACAGGAGTATTAAAACATCCACGTCATCTTGTGGAACAGAAACCTCAAGCTGAAGAATCTTCAGAAGGTAAAGAATTATTTATGATATTGAAATTTAGTATTCATTACTTATTCTTAATCAATTGTTCACTAAACGTTAAATTCATTTTTAATTATTTTGGTAATAAATTTATAATTTGTTCACTTTTACAGATAATGATTAATGATTGTAAGATAACATTCAATTTTAGAAATATTGAATTGTATTCTGGCAAAATTTCAATTACGGATTATTTGAATAAGTATCCGGTTTTAAAAACACAAGACGCAAAGCAGTTGGTAAATTTATTTAAATTCTTAAAATCTGTTATATATAGTCGGTTAGTTAATACATTAATTAATACAATTTCTGGGATTTGATTTTTTTCTCACAGTTCGAGCTTGACTTCGATCTTCGTTATCCAGAAAAAAAAGATCTGGTAAAAATCAGGTGGCCAGGTATAAAAAGTGTCATTACTTCACAATTAATTCAATTGGAGACAAAAGCTGCTACTGGTCGTTCGAAACTTCCAACTGCAGATGTTCTTCTTATAAAAGGATTGGGGAAATTAGAAGAAGATGAGAAAGACCAAAAATATTTTGATTTGCTTAATTTCCTTTTTTGAATGAAATAATTACAAGAATGTTTATAATTTTTTAACTTAAATTTATTTTTAAATGTTTTAGCTCCAGACTTAAAATAATAATTTATAATATTTATAATAATAATTCATTTTGCTCTGTTTTTCTTATGTTGAATGAACCTTGTCTTTTTCGACTTGAGCAGTATTAAATGCGACTTATTTAAAATTTGATTGTGTAAAATATTACTGGTGGATTTATTTATTCAGTCAACGCGGTAAATTAAAATGTAAAAGAAACAAATTATTGTTAAAAAATCTCTAATCATTTATTGTCAAAATTGACATCATTTTAAAAGTTTTAAGTTCAAATTTTTCTCAATAATGTACAGAAAAAAAGATGCGGTAGTTTTTTACCTACTCCAGAACCTTATTAGTTCCGCAAATATGGGTAAACGGAAGAGGGGAGATGTTAACCCTGTTACCAAAGTCACATCTGAGGAAATTCGAAAATCATTCATCACTCTTGTTAAAGTATGCTCCGATAAGTTTCTCGACCTATTATTTAACTTTAATTTACTAATTTAATATTGAACTTGATGTAGTGTAAAAATCATTCCATAGTATAAAATTAATTTATAATGTATTTTAGCAAAACAGCGAACTCGAAATAGAAAGAAAGAAATAAACAAGAGAAAGACAGAAACCCTGCAACCATTTGTATGTGCCGTTGGGCAAGATTACGATGTAATCGAAGAATATTACACCGTTTTGGATAATCAGCTTTACAAGGTACTCAGCTGTATCGAGGTTTTTGATTTGACGTTCAAAATTTTTTTTTCATTAGATTGCGCATATCCAAAACAATCAACACGATTGTGGCAATTTTTGCAATTAGCTAGATTTGACATTGTTCTTCCAGAAACTGTAATAAAATCGGTAAAAGAATTGATGGGGCTTACCAAAAAGGAACTTCAATATAGAAAAATTTTGTAATCTGTTAAAAATTAAGGGGGGACTATTTATTAATGTTAAAAAAATTCTGCCCTGATTATAGTTCTGATTCTAGTGATTCCGATTTTTCCCTTTCAGAAAATGACCTTATATGGGACAATGAAAATTCAAATTCCACTGTTAGTCTCGAACAAGAAATTACAGAATCTACAAAATTCGTTAATGACAAAGCTGTAGAATATGCGGCACAACTTTATAGTTTTAATGATGTAAATAGGTCTCGAGTTAATACTATTATTACTTCAACATCTGAATTTTTCGAATCTTCATTGAATTCACTTACAAATGAAATTTGTAGCAAACTAGAAATCCAAACACCTCATTGGAAAAAAAAATTGCTCGACACGGTCTAGAAAAAATTGTTTTACCCCTTGACTTATTCTTTGACGATTACGAATCGAATAATCCTTTGGGAAGACATAAAGGTGTATCGAAATGTGGGGCGGTTTATGTTAGTTTGCCATGTCTGGATCCGAAATACCAATCAAAATTAGAGAATATTTTTCTATTTATATTATTTAACTCTTTGGACCGTTCGATTTTTAAAAATCAAATTATTTTTCAAAAAGTTATTGAAGAATTAACATTTTTGAGGGAAGAAGGAATCATTATAAACTTACATGAGGGGGAAATAAAAATATTTTTCGAATTAGCTTTGATAGTTAGTGATAACCTTGGACTTAATTCTATATTCGGATTTATTGAAAGCTTTACAGGAACGAAATTTTGTAGATTCTGTTTAACCAATTATAAAGATATTAATAAAGTATACTGTGAAAAAGATTGCATTCTTCGAAACATTAAAAATTATCTGTCATCTTTTGAATATGAAGATCAAATTAAATCCTCAGGCATTAAAGAATCAAGTGTTTTTAATCAAATTCCAGGATTTCATATCACTCAAAATCCAGCAGTAGACGTTATGCACGACTTTTTAGAGGGAATTTGTAGATATGATTTAGCCCTAATTTTAAACCATTTCATTTATAAACGTAAATATTTTTCTATTGAATTGCTGAACAATTTATTGCGTAGTTTTTATTATGTTTGAAAAAGAGAATACTTAAATTTCCTATCAGATTTATCAAATATTGCTACTAAATTTCTTTCCGTGTGGAACTATTGCGTGGTATTAATTTTGGATATCAGGTCCAAAGTTATATAAATGAATATTTGTTAATTTAACATATTGTATCACTTGAATGCATATCTAGTTTTTGTTAATCTACAGCTAACTTATAGGATATTTTAAGTAATCTGGTACAGCTAAATGATAAGGTCTACTTATGTCCTGACGCGGTAAAAGGGACCTTACGGTCCAAAAGCAAATTTTACATGACGGGCGGTCAACAAGAAGCAAGAAAATAGGGGTAGCCTGAATTATCTATGTTTAAATATTTATAGAAAAAGGAGTATTGAAAGGAGACAATTTTTTATTTTTGGAAATTAAACAGCAACTTAAAAACTAACAATTTTCATGTAAGAAAATTAAAATTAACAAAAGCTAACGTTATAGTAAGAGCATTCAAACATGATTCAGAAAATGCAATATACAAAAGATGCCTACGTTTGAATGTTAAAAATAAAAAATTAATTAAAAATAATTTCTAGTTTTTTGAAATAAAAGAGCAACTCAAATACAAACGATTGATATAAAAAAATTAAAATCAATTTTTTTTGTGAAAGGTCCCTCTTTTATCGCGTCAGGAAACATATGTACAATCAATATTATGTAGAAAAAAGTTTATGCATACTTAAACTTAATTTTCCGCCAAATATGGTTCGATCAAATGCATCTTTCCACTTGAAAGGTATCTTAAGTTCATGTGAAGGTATTTTTCGTTCTAATGCACACAGCTGATCATAGTAACTGAAAAAAGATAATTATTATTCAAAGTATGTAATTAATTTGTATGTTTCAAAAAATATTATTTCTATAAAAATCTATAACAGGGGACTTTATCAAAAATTAATATAAAAACACACTTCCAAATAGCATTTAATATTCCTACAATATTGCTGGAATATAGCAGCAAATCTTTAAATGTCCTGTTTGATACAATATTTCATGGCAATGTTGCTGCAATATTTCTTGGAAATATTTACAGGCTTCGCACTCATTAGTCAGTAAAAAAATAGTAGCAAAAAGTAGCCTGAAAAGTGAAAAAAGTAGCCTACGGAAAAAATTAAAAATATGTGTAGTTTATATATTAAATAGTATTTAATTTTAAAAAATTAAATTGTATTTAATTTAAAAAAATTAAATTTCAACACTTAATTTACATAATAATTTGCATAGTACATAGTTTTTAGGGTATTAAAATTAAAATTATACCATAAAAGTAAAGAATTTTCGAACATTTAAATGGCAATAGAGGTAATTACAATTTATTGGCTCAATCCATTATATTTTATATCATAAGTCGTTAAGGACTAATTTTTTTAAAAATAGATACTTTCCGAAATGATTCTGGATGATATTTAGAGAACGAAATAAAAATAATTCAGTTAAAATTTTTATTATTTATCTTGAAATATGAGTTTAAAATGGAGAAGATATGGAAAACTCACTTTTTCAGCAATTAGAAAGATTATTAAAAATATAGACAACTCTTTTAAAATGTACAATGTATTACTGACTCTTGTTCAGAATTAATTAATTTATTATCTTTTATTGATTACACAGCCTCAGAAAAAAAATTAATTTTGTCCGGCGAAATAGACTTGTCATTCTTACGTTTTATTGTTAGTTCTCAGAGATAATCGCAAAAATCTGATAAAAATCCTGAATTAGGGACAAAGATAATTTTTTGCCGAAACACTACGATATTGTATTTCCATGTACATTGTACTTTTTTCCACTGAATTCGAATTCAAAGTCAGAATTGAGAGATTAGCTTAAATTTTGGAAATAATGCCAAAAAACTGATTTTGAGTTTATTTGAATTTTTTGTTTATTGAGTTTTTTGCAATTATTATTTTTGTAAAACTGTGAAAAATAGCCGGTTATCTATGTATATTTCGGTGGTGGGGATAAATCACTCTATTTTCTTAGTTTCTAGTTTTTTATTTATCTAGTTTATTTTTATTTAGATATTTATTTTTTTCTAGTTTCTTTATTTTCTTCTAATTTCTAGAAAATTTTAAAATCTTTAAGTTTTTAATTAATATTTATTTAGGCATATTTGAAATTTAAAGAACTGATTAAATACCAATTTTTCACAGTTTTTCATAAATTTAAATGGGTTAAAGTAACCGCAAGATATTCAGCACTTTATAGATCCAATTTTTGTGTGCTATTTAAAATTACTTAAAACCATATACAGGTTTTGAACTCATTAGCCGGCAAAAAAGTAACAAAAAGTTGTCTAAGTAGTGGAAAAGTAGCTTTTAGTAGCCTAAGGTTGAAAAAGTAGCCAAAAAGTAGCAAATAGTAGCTTTTAGTCGAAGAGTGCGAAGCCTGATAATATTATAAAGGACTTTGATAGCCCGTCTAATAAATAAATAAATAATATTATATTTGACTAATTGAAATTTATCTTTTTTCACGAAAAAACGTTACGCCTTACGCGTATGACCTTTTTATAATAGGATTAACAAAATGAAAATATTTAAATAAAAAAACAGGATTAATCAAAATAATATTAATATTAAATTATTGATTTTAATTTTAATATCATTTTGTTATTGATTTTTAACCATTTTTAAAATTATAATAATTGTTAACGGTCAATATTTTTTACCAGAGGTACGTTTCCCATAGGTCTTAAGTGTGATCTTTCCGATTCCGGTGTCAAAAATCAATTTTGTTCAAGCCATAATTAAATATGGCGGTTTTTATTATCAAAAAACACAAAAAAATTCATTTTTTCAAGTTTGGCAATTTTTTTTACCCAGAAACAGTGTCATCTTTGCCTGAATTTAACAAATTGGGGGTTTTTGGGGTCGCTGATTACGAATCCGATGTTATTTTTAAAAAATTTTAAATGTCCGATTTAATATGGAGGACGACTTTTTAAAAATACAATGCAATTCGCTTGAAATATGTTACTCCAGGGTTTTCGGGGTCGCTGATTGCGAATCTGAACTTCGTTTTCGAACATTCAAAATGGCAGATGCAAAATGAAGGACATGTTTTTTTAATTTCATCAGATTACCATAAAACCTGTTACTCGGGTGTTTTCGCGGTCGTTGATTACGAATCTGAACTTCGTTTTAAAAAATTCAAAATGGCGGATCTAAAATGGCGGACGACTTTATGAAAATTCAATGCAATTCGCTTGAAATTAGTTACTCGGGGGTTTACAGGGTCGCTGATTACAAATCTGAATTTTGTTTTCAAAAATTTCAAATGGCGGCTCCAAAATGGCGGACATGTTTTTAAATTTCAGCAGATTTACATAAAAATTCTTACTTGGGAATTTTCGCGGTCGCTGTTTAGGAATCTGAGCTTTGTTTTTAAATATTCAAAATGGGGGATCCAAAATGTCAGACGACTTTTTGAAACTTCAATTCAATTCGCCTGAAATTACACTGAAAAAAAAATTTATTTGGATCAAATAAAAAGTATTTGATCCAAATACATCATTTACTTGTCTATTATCCAATAAATATGTATTTGAATTAAATACACATTTACTAAACCTAAGTAGGTATTTTATTTTATCGTAACAAATAAATAGTTATTTGAATCAAATACAAAGTAATACATAATTTATTTCCATAAAATGTAAGAATTTTTTGATTCAAATAAATAAAAATTTGAATTGAATAAATAACATATTTATTTACTAATTCTTCCATTTCTAAATGAAAATCTTACTCAAAAAAATAAATTAAAAAATATGTAATTTCTGCATACTATGATCGGATATTTTCATTTTTCAACTAATTCATACATAGAATTAATTATTAAACCAGGGACTGTCTCGGACACGAAATGTTGTTGAATTAAGTGATTATTTATTTTAACCAATTATTATTAACTATTATAATAAATTAACTGTATTCATACCGATTTATTTTTGTATTTAAAAAAAAATAACATTTTCTTCTATCAAGTAACATTAACTTAATAGAATAATTTCATTTTAAAATTTAAATGCAATTTATAAAATATAATTAATTATATGCTTTATGATTATTATCATGAATCATCCCAGGTGAATTTTCAAAAAAAGTGAAAATATATTTTTATTAAAAACGCGTTTTTCGTTGTTCTGAATCATTGTAAATATTAATTTTTTGTAGATGAAAAAATATTATTTAAATATTATTTATTTTCCTTTAATAAAATAGTGTATTAACATTAAATAACGCGTTATTTATATTAAATAATTTAGTTGACTTGAATCAGTTAAATAAAGTTATTGTATCAAATACTTTTTATTTGTTTCAATAAAACGAAATATTTGAGTGAAATAAATAAATAAATTGTTTCAAGTAAATCATTATTATCGTTTCATATGAATATTTATTCGATTGAAATATTTTTTTATTTGTCTTGATAAAATAGTGTATTAGTATTCAATAACGTATTATTTGTATTAAATAAATTCATTTATTCAATTCAATTAATTATTTAATTGAACCAAATACGATTTATGCGGTTCAAATAAATGCGATTCAAATAATTCAAGTTATTTGAATCAAATACATATTTTTTTAATCCAAATAAAAAGTATTTGAACCAATTAAATATTTTTCAAATAATTTGAAGTATTTGAATCAAATAAATTTTTTTTCAGTATAGTTACTATGAGGTTTCAGGGTCGCTGATTAAGAATCTGAACTTCGTTTTTAAAAATTCAAAATGGCGGCTTCAAAATGGAGGACAAGTTTTTTAAATTTCATCAGATTTACATAAAACTATTTACTGAAGAGTTTTCGCGGATGCTGTTTAGGGATCTGAACTTCGTTTTCAAAAATTCAAAATGGTGGATTAAAATGGCGGACGACTTTTTTAAAATTTAATGCAATTCGCTTGAAATTCGTTACTCGGGGATTTTTGCTGTTGCTGATTACGAATTTGAACTTCGTTTTCAAAAATTCAATATGGAAGATCCAAAATGTCAGACAAATTTTTTCAATTTTATCATATTCGTTTGAAACTGTAAAAAATGTAGCATTAATTTTGAAGAAAGTAGGGATGGTAATATTAAAGTAGGTAATGACATTACTGTAATATGAGCAAGTTCTGCATTTGTCTTCGACGGGCAGCGGCTAAAGTTAGTCGATTACTAAAATATAGTTTTCATTTTTATCATACTACTAAAAAAATTATTCTTGAAGTTGTCTACCTCTACGAAGTAAGAGTTAGATACGTGTAAAAAGGCGGCTAAAAGACAAAGAAAGCCTTTTCAAAAATTATGATTGTCACTTTGAATTTTTGAAAACGAAATTTAGATTCGTAATGAGCGACCTCGAAAACCTCCGAGTCAGGAGTTTCAAGCGAATTTCATTGAAATTTTTAAGTCATCCGCCATTTTCGATCCGCTATTTTGAATTTTTAAAAACAAAGTTCACATTCGTAAACAGCGACTCCGAAAACCCCCGAGTAACAAATTTCAAGCGAATTGCATTGTATTTTCAAAAAGTCGTCCGCCATTTTAGATCCGCCATTTTGAATTTTTTAAAACGAAGTTTAGATTCGTAATCAACGACCGCGAAAACCCCAATTTGCAAAATTCAGGCAAATTCAATGAGATTAGGGCAGTTGGGCACATATTGATCAAAACTTTCACATTTTACTTTAGATTTGACGCCATATTGGTCCTCCATCTTGAAATTTTTAATTTTACTTTACGATTCTCGAAAGTATACCATTTTTATGCACCTATAGTTGATATTATATAATATATTTAATCAGGG